ATGTGATTATTTATATTTCAGAAATCTTCAACAATTACTAACAAGACGTTTGCAAGGATTGGCTTATTTTTTAGATAAATTGTTATCACATAAGTAAGTATAATCCATAACATTTAATACACATAGTCTTTGGTTATTAATTTGACAAATTACAATACATATATATATATATATATATATTGATTGAAAAATAATATAGGTATTATTGTTTGAAAAGAATGAATGCAATCAGAATAAAAAAACAGCAAGGTAAAAAATTATAATAGTGTTACTCTTTTTATTTTTCCCTATTAATTTATTCAGTTATTATACTATCGTATTACATCCTCCCGCTACACATGGTATATTTTATAGAATAAAACTAGCTGTACCCGCGACTTCGTCCGCGTAAAATAGTGACCTTGACCAAAATATTTAATGACCTAACCGTAAAAGCCATATGAAAAAGTTTTAGCTTCAAAAACGACGACACTTCCGTACAATCTTTCATTACTCTATCAACCCCCTATTAATATATATTTAATAAATACGCTAAAAATTAAACTTCAAGCTTATAGCTTTAAAAATGACAATATTTCCATATAAACATTTAACTTTTCTTTAAATTCCCTACAACCCATTTTATTTATTTATATTTAATCAACAGCCTAAAATCAGTTTCAGGGTTTGGAAAATGGCGATATATCCATACAATCTTGCATCTACCCTTTCAATCCCTTTATAACCCTTTTCCACATTAAAAAGTACCCTATATCCATTCTCAGGGTCTAGATTATGTGTTCCAAATTTCATTAAACTCGGTTCATCATTCTAGCTTAAAAAATCATGAATTTACATAAAAACTTTCATCCCCTATTTTATTTTACCCCACTAAGGGTATTTTTTTTTACAAAATTTAGAATGTCATGTTTATTTATATTTAATCATCAGCCTCAAAAATAAGTTCAAGCTTCTAGCTTCAACAATGACGAATTTACATAAAAAAAATTATATCCTAATTTATTTAACCCCCTTAAGGGTAAAATTTTTTTAAATACTTTAAATGTCATATTTACTCATATTTGATTAGGAGCCTCAAAAATAAGTATCAAGCTTCTAGCTTCAAAAATAACGATTCTTCCATACAATCTTTCATCCCCAATTTGAACACCTTACAACTTTTTTTTCGCATTAAAAAGTAGCCTATGTCCTTTCTCAGGGTCTAGACTATCTGTGTACCAAATTTCATTTAAATCGGTTCAGTAGTTTTGGCGTGAAAGCGAGACAGACAGACAGACAGAGTTACTTTCGCATTTATAATATTAGTAAGGAAGTAAGGATAACTTAATGTATAAAATTACATTTACTATGATTAACTTAGCGGTATATAAAATTTTAGATACCGCTAAGTTATTTAGACCGCTAACTACTACATAATTGATAGACATAATATACGTATCATAAAAAGCCTCGATAAATAAATGAAAACGGATATACACCAAGATCGGATAGTACAGCTGTGTGCTGTGCTATAAAGGATGTGAATAGGTATATTAAAATTCAGACTTATAACGAATATGAAATTTTAAAAATCAAACCAACTTATCTTTACATATTATAAATGATGACGATGATTGTCGTTATCCATTTATTGAGCATTAGTTTAGTTGGATTTTTTATACGTAATAGATTTTCAACTCCTAAATGAAGAAATAATCAGGTAATTAGAAATAATCTACGCGTTATTACTCGGATCCTGCATTTTTAATTTATAATGACTTTAACATGACCGACTTCAATAGGTCACAAATTTATACAAACTTGATCTTTCTCTTTTCTACAAATGTCCAAAAATGTTCGTACCGCGGGCGCTCGTATAGTTGGCGTCCCTGATGGATACTAAAACTCTCTTGGATTTATAACGAGTCAGACTAATTGATAATTATATAATTAGTTATGTTTATTTCTATACAGATGCGTACTTGGAGAAGACAAGAAAAAATTAGCTGAAAGCATATTAGAACAAAGTTTAGCCTTACCTGTTGGTTTGAAATTAGATGAATCAATGGCTCCTGAAGAATTCACAATGGATGAAAGCAATCTTGATATATCGCAATCATTGAGGATTGAGGACTTAACAATGTTGTTTGGACATCATGTCGCATGCAGTGACGAAAATAGGTACTCTGCTCGAAAGCCTTTAAAACATTTTCCACAGGCTGATATTATTTCTGAATCAGAGTGCTGGTCGGAACCAGATAGAAATGTATCGCTCGCTAGAGTAGGTCTCTGTGACACTGGAGCAGCATTAGAGAATCTATGTCAGAAAACAGTCGGTTCAGATCAAGGCGTTCTAAAGTTTCCTATGGATCACGTTCTGATGATAACAAAACTACTAATGAATCGGCATTACTCGAGGAAATAAACCAAATAACTCAGCGAAGTGAATTATTAGAAGAGGAAAATAACGATCTAAACAACAAATTAGAATTCGCAAAAACACAAATTAGTGAACTTATAATTGAGAGAGATGAACTAAAAGGAAGTTTAGATAGTGCGTACAAATATTGTGGAGTTAAATAAACAAATTGAAATGACCAGCAATTCTTTAATTTGCATGGAATTAAAGATTAAAGACATAGAGCAGCAGTATACTGGTGCTGTACAATTAAGTGAAAAATTGAGAGAGGAGAGACAGCAATTAGAATCTACCTATCTAGAAACAGAAAGGGCATTAAGACGTGCTGCTGATGAAGCGACAGTACAAGCTTCTCAAGCAGCTTTAGAGAGAGCACGCGCTCAACACGATAGATTACGTATTGAAAGAGAATTAGAAGAGACACGTGATAAGTTAGCTAATGCTTTAGAAGTTAATGCTCAATTAGAAATAGAGGCAACGCGTAAGATAGCTCTAGAAGCTGACAATAAAATTGCGATTGTACATGAAGTTCTACAATCAGAAGATGACCGTCCCACTTCGCCTGATTTAGGAATCGATAGTGATAGATTGTCAAGCCTCGAACATAATGATGCTGTTACATTATCACCACGTACGTGTTTTTAATTTCATCACTTTGGTCTTTTTGTTAATTTTAAATAACAATTTTCATTGAGAAATCAATATTTTTCTTTCAGGATCTTTGTATGAGGAAAATCAGACATTAAAACAGAAACTGGCAAGAACTAAAGCAACACTAGCAGAAACTTTAGCACAGTTAAATGCTGCTAATTTGAGAAAAAGAAGTGTTCAACGAGCGATTTGTAGAGAAATACATAAAACCCAAGGTGTGTTACGAAAAGCACGAGATCAGTTTGAAAACCAAAAATTAAATTATGTACTTAATCATTAATTTGACTTGTATAGGTAAATTTAAAAAAGAATTTACTATATACATACATGTATATACGATACTTTGTACGATTTTACATGTTCTGTGATTTTAATTGTTTTATCTGTATTAAGTTAGAATTTTATTTTAAACAGTATGTATAATTTACTAACTTATTTTATTTTTCGAATACATTAAGTGATAATTATATGTATGTATATTAAATTATATGGCTCAACCAACAAACCATTTACAAAACAAAAACAGAAAAGTTCGCGTATATACGTAGCATTTTGGACTAACTGCAGTGAAGTTTGCACAGCATACTTTTTTGCAGATATTGTACGGTGTTCATTTATTATTTAAAAATTCTCATTTGTAATGTTTTAATCATTTAAATATTTCCGAACCGATACACTATTGAAACAAGAAAATAATTTATTCCTTCTAAAAGCCTGGCAACGCACTTTCTATTCAATTTCTATTCCCCGGGCGCTCATGTAAATCAAATATAGGCAAAAAAAAATAGAAAAACGCATGAGCTAGTACTATCTGTAGCATAATATGATGACCATAGTGCTGTTCATCTAAATTGGTGATGGGTACCACTTACAATCAGGTATGTCGTCACCTTACTATTCCAAATAAATGAAAAACATGTTAAACACGCTCACTTATTATAATTTATATGAGTTAATAAGCCCATAATATAATTTGTCTTAATCTGTATTATCGTATTTGTTATACCTATTTAACATAAGAAAAGCTAAGGTAGTATTACAGGTATTGTTTAGTTTATTTGGTTACATTGCTCTATGGAATATCCTGTATTTTAGATAATAAATATTATTAAACATTAACTTTGTGTATTTACTATATCAACAATTACTATGAATTCTTATTCCCATACCAAATGTATGGCAGATGAGATGAGAGAGATGTTCAGATTTTTTTTTATATTTTATTTTCAGTTAAAATATTTTGATGAATTTACACAGTAGTACGCCTGCGTTGGGCCTGTTACTATGAAAATTAATGAATTTGAACCAAGATTTAGAATAAGACAAGTATTGTATAGTATTGTATATTTTTAACCTCAATGTTGATTTCTGTCTTTAGCCTGAATGTCTACAATGCAAGCTTTATTTTATTAGAAATGCCGGAGAAAATTCGGCCCGACAATGAAGACTTGTTTAATAATTTGAAATACACTATATGAACTTTAAATTCTTGATGAGCTAGTATTAGAATATGGACCAGAAAGTAATAATCATCGTTTCAAAAACTAAAACAAGATTTGATAGTACTACTAAAATCATCATCATCATCATCATCGCAGCCCGGAAGACGTCCACTACTAGACATAGGCCTCCCCCAAAGATCTCCACGACGATCGGTCCTGCGCTGCTCGCATCCAATGCCTTCCAGCGATCTTGACCAGATCGTCGGTCCACCTTGCTGGAGGCCTTCCCACGCTGCGTCTAAATATAAAACACAAGAATTATCCAAGTCTCAAGAATAAGAAAAACTAAATAATATTAGGCTGTACCGTCAGGCGACCATTGCGTACCTCATATTTAAAAAAAAAAGAAGACGAAGCTTTGTAGTTTACTTGGCGCGAAATGTAAAAACAGACCTACACTTTTGATTTACTTTGTAATATTATTATTTTTTTATAAAATCAATTCTAAAATGACTTTTCATTGGAATGTTGCTAATCCAAAATTTGATACTCTAGGCTATATAACAGCCGTTGCGAATATCAAAGATAAACACGATAAGTCAGCTCCCTCTGATTATCACTGGAAAATTCTTAAATGTAGGTAAGTAATATTTTTACTTGCATTTTCTGTTTCGCTAGAAATTATAACATATTTATGTTGAAAACAGTCGGGAAATTATACTTTTTTTTGCTAGTAACTTAACTATATAATATTTTGGTATCAAAATTATTTTTCTTTTGTTACACAGAATTATTATATTTTCAAATTCGTCTATATTAGCCAGTCCCGATAAGAAAAATTTGAAACAAATTCACATTATCTTCAATAAAACGGGCGACGACTATGATAAAATTAATTCATTGTTCTTGAAATTCTCTCTTATACAGGTAATTAAACTCAAAAAAATTATTAGAAAATGTGAAAATTAATTTTCTTGATTGTTTTTATGGCACTACCTATGTAAAGCGAAGCAAACCTTTCTTTAATACTTAATTGCTTGATAAGTTACAAAAATGTTAATCAAAAACGAAGCATAATCGCGAGTTGCATAATCGCGTGCTCCTCTACATAGATACCTGATTAGGTATTTACTCTTTCAATCATAACAGTGGAAGGGCAAACAATATGGGTCAGATCTTGAATAAGGTTCCATGTAGGTATGGGTTAGTTAGTGTATAAAAGGCTACTAAGAACAAAAATATGTGTACCTACTTCAAAAATGGATGAGAAAAAAAAAGTACCTAGTCGTAACTATCTACGTTCCTATTTTATTTTCTAAGTTTGTATGTGACTATTTGAACTGGAGTGGTTTTTATTTAATATACATTTTTTTTAATAAAAGGATGGCTCTATAAAAAAGACTACGGCCGATATATTCGAAATGTGTTTTGTGTATACAATGACAGCTAAAATTGCACCATTATGGAATACAATCGGCACTAATTATCTCATTAATAATAGAGATTTTCTTACAACCAAAGGACCCCAAGATGGACTACAATATCATATAGCAAGTAATGGTAAGTACTTATCTTAGTATACGTAACTTAGGTAGACTACGTAAAAAGTCGTCTGTGTGAGTAACTCAATCTCACCTATTTCAGTCGCCAAACAGCGTGCTTTATTTTTGTTGATGGTTATTAGTAAGTAGACATACTTCAATATGTGGACTAAGGTCAATTAAGTGTACCTATGTAGCAATTTCTAGAAATAATTTTTCCTTGTCCTAAGATAACTATTACTACTACTAAGATAACTTATTATCCTAGGATCACCTTGCTCCTGATAAAAAGGCACTAATAATATTGCTTCTACATAGGTATTACAATTACACAACAGAACAATTAATATTAATACAAATGTATTTTTGTTAGAAAGTTCTACTTACATTGAAGTCAAGCCTGTAAAAATAGTTATTATTATGGAATTGGAAGGTGACTTTGCTCCTGGAGAATATGTCAGGGTATTACCAAGGTAGATATGCCCAAGTATTATGTATATTACTAGTTTTACAGCGGAATGTGGTGATGATTAGAATGCAGATGGTCTCCAAGACCGCTAAAGGACTTACGGAGCGGCTGAAGGCCAGCTTCGATCTGACGGATACGACTCTAGTCTGAGAACACTGCTAGGGGTTCGAACTTTGGCTCAGGCCAATTCGGAGGATGGATCGGACAAGTCTTACGTACACCACAACATTGACAGCTCGATTGCCCCATCTGGGTTGACAATCATGAGGAAGTGTAATGTTTTTAGTTTATTATACCTATCCATAATATTAGACATAATTTTCAGTTTATACCTACTCGTTTCAAATATCACCCACTTTCTTATTTTAGCTTAAATAAAGCTATAGTGGAGGAGCATCACAATTCGTTTCCAGAAATGTGCGCTTTCAAATTTTACAAGGATTTACGTCGCCACTGGAAAAATATTGTAAGTGTTTATTCTAAAACAATATAGGTACTTAGCAGTAAATGGAAAAAAAAGGAAGTACCTACGGAAGTAATTGCTACTACTTAATTGAAAGATAAAAAATATAATAAATAAATCGATAAATTAAAGTTTCGTTATCTTTTCAAGGCAATTCGAGGAGATCTCAGGTGATATCCGTACCCTATATTTTCTCTGTCATATCGTTGTCTGTGTTATCTGTCTCATTTAAGTTTAAATGAGACAACTGACAGACAACTTTGTGCAAAGCTTACCTACCTCTGGAAATATGATTGATTTTCATCGCATTCGCAAACGCTTATTGTTTCAGAAAAAATAGTAAATACTCTGTAATTTGCCATACGGCATAGGTATTCGTGGTATTTCTTTCTGTAATACAAAGTTATCTATGTCAACAGCATGGCTATAGATTGCCTGAACAAGACTGTTCATCATATTATGTAATAAGATTTTGGCGAGGAGAGCCCTTAACCTATCCAAGTATATGTGTGACCAGGAATTTACCCGTCATTATACCAATGCGAAAATATGTTGAGGTAAGATATAAAATACATACAGTGAAATAAAGCATTAAAATATATTTGTTTTATACATACGTAATATTCATAAAAAAAGGCCCAGAGCGATACAAATAATCATATTCATAAGTTTGTACCGTGCGATAAGAACCCGCGACCGTCAGAAGTAAAGCGGTGTCCTAAACCGCTAGACCTCCGAGGTCGTTATATTGCCATTATGTTACTTACTGATTATGTTATCTGTGCTATAACATACACTAAGTCGGTAGGTAGGTTTTCTCATTTTGTTCACTGATCTTTGCTGTTTTTATATATATCTACATACTAGTTGAGGAATAAAAGTAGGTACTAATATATGGTGGTAATAATATATTTTATTGTAATTTGCAGGAAACCGTGATATTCAAATTCATCAGAGATCTGAGGAGTAAAATGTCTGGTATTCTTGGGATGCCATTAATTATTCAAGAAAACAGGAATTATGCTCCCAGTACATCACGACAAGTAAATTATTATTATTATTATTTATTCAATTATGTTGTGAATTTTCAGAGATTTGCCCATGCATTTTGCCTACGTTCTTTGAGGTCTGTTTATGACAATGGAATGGTGATCACTCCTGGGCTAATGGTACAGCTTTCCAGAAAGAGATTAGTTACTTTTTCTTTCGGACTACACTAATGCTGTTGGCCGCAGCTGATCTTTAAAGCTTCACCGGACGATAGGGGGCGAGTGCAAATGGCACTCCAAACCCGCGGAACGACTTATGGAGCGACTGCTTCGAACCTTAGCTCAGACCGTCGTAATTTCGATCCCAGTTTGAATTGGAAAGGGGTGATCGATCGGAGGTTGGGTATTACTGTTAAAAAATTAGTGTACTAACTCTTGGATACAGAATGCTATTATTTTATTTTACCTATATTGTATACTATTCACAATTGTATGCGTTATGATCACAGTACCTAAAATTTTAAAAAGTAGTAGGTTACAGCTAGTGTACGATTAAATGAAAAATCTTTCTTTACTTTTATATCTAATTAGAGTGTCTAAAATTTTTATATACTTTTAAGGAGAACAATGAGAGCCTTGTGGAAACTCAAGAAGTAAGTTTATGCACTCCAACACAAGCGTGTCCATGGAGTACTTATAATACTAATTAACTTTTGATAGTATTTTTGAATAGTTAGTTTAATTGAAACGCAGTTGTACATTTAATTAATTTATTATTTTTCATTTTATTGTCTTGAACACTGAGCACTGCAATTATATGAGAACAATATTCGTTATAGTAATTAACATGTCAATATTATAAGTACCTATAATTAAAAATAAACTTATAATACATTGTGAATATTATTTTTTTACTAAGAATGTAGATTACAGAAGTAGGACAAAATAATGTACAGTTTTACGAATATAATGCGGCTTAGTGCACATTCACAAAGTGGTCGTTATAATTATCGCTATGAAGAATAGGTTTAATGTATAATATATCTATGTAATGATTTCTTAATTATGAGTCAAATTTAAAATGTGTGCGTAAATAGGATATATGAACTCTAGATGTGATTTCATACGGTACCTATTTAATTAAATTGTGTCATAATTAGATATATTAGTTTCATAAAATATTTTTGTTTTACCACAAACTTGTACCATATTCTAGTAAATTCTATTAATTAGAACATAGACTTTGCAAATGTGTAATACAATAAAGTCTTACTAATGTAATCTACTTACCTATCGTAATCCGTTAGTGTAGTCTAATATCCACCCACCACCTGTTGTCAATATCGGTAGGTACAACCTAATCGTCTTATGTATAAAAATAACGTTAAAAACGTACGAAAACATTTTAACAAATTTACTTTTTTGTGTCACTTATCACTATGAAAACAATAGCTTGAGTTAAAGTAAAAATTGGACGATAGCTAAATGAACTGTAACTAGACACACGTCAATGCTAAATAATTATGAAGGTAGCGACTGTTAGTAATATGAAAACAGTTGACACTGTACCTACAGTTACATTTTATTTTCTATAACAATCTACATAAAAATAAATATATTTCGTTAAGATATTTTGTATAGGCATAGAGGTAGGTATAGTGATGAAGTTTCAAATAAATCTATGTTTACATACACATTAGTTTTAAAAAAGACATTAATGTCTTTTTTAAAACTGATGGCTCGTCTTATGTAGTGTAAAGAGCTAATGAGACATAAACAGTACGTACGACGGACATCACTAAAATGAGCAGGCTCTGATACTCGTCAAACCCATTCAAGTTGAATTTCCGAATAATTTTTTTGCGTTACGAAAAAGACATTGTTTCTATGAAATATCTTAGTCCTAAATAACAATATCGTAATTCACACTAACCAAATAATATTTAAATAAAAGTTCTACTTTGTACAAAGTTTGCTTCTGGCGTCAAGTATGTAGGATGATAAGAAGATTTTGAAGAAATACAGAGTAGAATTGAAAATAATACCACTGCCTTATGTTTAAGATGTATGTATGAATATATTTATATCTTCACAACGATGAATTTGTGTATAAAAAGCTTCGTAAGAGACATAGATCTCGTTATAATCCTATATATTTGGTAGAGTAATATTGTTATAGTTCATAAAAACATTAACAATTGGAGTTTGGAGAATCGAATAGATGAAATATTTACAGTTTTAGGATTCTATCACAAATTAGTAATGTGTACTTACTACTATGTTTGTCATAATAATTTTATTTACCTAATTATACCATTCCAGTTTTTAATATAATTTTCTCAAATAGAAACTAAATAGCTAGATATATAAAATTAGATTTTTTCATGTATATAATTTTCTATAGCTATTTTACAAAGGGATCTTGCAATTAATTTATGTTTATCATTCGACAGTTGGCGAAGAAGTAACTAAGTTATTTCTTGGTGGAGTCAATGATGTTTGTGCTGCTGTTTGATGAAAAAATCTAGCAACAGATGGCGATAAATTGCTAACTTGTTGCGATTGCTGTAAAGCTATTAAATTTCCTGTATCCTGAAATGAATAATAGATAGATATATGTTTTGTTATATATTTAGAACTTATACCATATATACAACCAAAAAGAATAATCACATCGTACGTAGGTAAAATAAGGTTTAAAGAGAAATTTATAAATTCTACATATGTACTTATATTTTATAAAGATTAGTGTGAAATTAACTAAGAAAAATCACAAATACCAAGTTATTAAGAATATAATTAATAATAAAATAAATCAGTTGTAGGAACTAGATCAGACGAGACCCTACAAACTGCAATAATTCACGAATATGACGACTATAATTGTGTAGAAACATATTTAAGAAAGCGCAATATAACACTCTTTCATGCATCCATGTAAAATGGTTGCATGTGGACCTTATCCATACACTTCGGTGAACATCATCATATATAGGTATTATAATATTATTTCTATAGCTCTATTTATAATCCTCGACTACAACTACTTAACATTATTTATTGCTACTAGCTTTTATCCATAAGCTTATTGGGATAAAGGATAGTCTATATTCGTAATAATAATAATAATAATGCAGCATATTTTCCTGTCTTTCTTTAAGTAAGATCCCTTCAACTGTTTAGTTGGTTAAATAGGTAACAAACAGAAAGACATACCTACATTCTTTCTCTTTAATAATATTAGTTTTGATATAAATGTAAATTTACCGGTCTACTCTGCCTTGAAATTCTTGGTGAGGTTACTGGTGTGCGCACGTTTAGATAATTATTTGTAAATGGCGCAGTATTTAATAGACACTGAAGTTTGTATCCTTTTGCCAAATCTTCAACAGTTTTACCTATAAAAATAAAAATGTGAAAAATATAGGTATATTAGGCCTAAATATTTCGGTTTTACGCAACATTAGACGAAACCTAAATACCGTACACTTTTTTTATGAATAGCCGTAAAGAACAGCTGTGACAAAGACAAAAGACCAATATTCTGGAATGGTGATCCCACAGTAAGTATAGTTTGGGGACATATAGTCAGATTAGTCAGTGTATCATCTGTTGTTAATCGTGGTGAATTTACCACAATCTACGGAGAACCGCGTGGAGGTCAACCTGACATGTAGTTTTGTAGTACAGGTTTGTAATCTTACTTCAGCATCAAATGTCAACTGTCAAAAAATGATTTATTTTTTTATATAATTGAAGTAGACTATAAAAAGTAGTTTGTATGGATACCTTAGTCTAGCCTATTTTATAAATATATAAGACAATGAAATTTTAGGATATTAGTCATGACATTATAGTTTTCCAGAATGGTTATATATGAGTGGTATATCACAATCGTCACATGATAACATAATGTCCGTTTGCCTATGCTATTCATGGCAATAGTTACGCCAGCTTGTTTGCTATTCCATTTCCTTTTAAAATATAATTGAGGTATTAAATTACTTATAATATTCTAACGTACCTACAAATGTACCCACTTGTATATAGATGAGGTGTACCTACCAAACGGTGCCATTTCTGACATTCAAGTAAGTATACTTATACAAAATACTTTGGTAAACCTTTAACTATCAATACCGTTTAATACATGATGAAATTAAGTCAAGTTTTATATAACAATATTAGAACTGAATTACCTGTTAAAGTTGTAGGTATATTAGTATTACATCGACCAGTTTCTAATATTTTCTTGAGTGCTGTTACATTTTGAAAAATTATTGCTACAGCGGCACCATCTGCCAACTGAGAAGAATCACAACAAGACAATAAAAAAGACCAACTATCGCTTTCCCATTCGTGACTAGAGTATACAGCCAATTGCAATGTTGATGCACCTAAAAATTCCATAATAATTTTAATAGATTGTAGTAATAAAACAAAGACTGATATTAAGAAACTCACCAGAAGCACTTAATAAGTGAGGGTTTGCTCCATGCTGTAGTAGTAGTTTAACAATGGAATATCGTCCATGACGTGCGGCTAATCTAATTGGCCAACCACCTTCTAAATTTGGGTCAAATCCACAATTGAGTATTTCAATGATTTCACTTTCATTATTATTAATAATACAATTTCTAAATACATAATTACTTCTTTCCATAATAATAAAATATATCAAATAATAATAAAAACTGTAACTAAGTGTTAGCTATATGTTGAGCGCCACTCCAATAGAAGTACGTAACTAACACAAATAAATTTATATACTTACCTACATAAACTTTACTATACTTTAAAATATATGAAGGTAGAATTTAAAGTATAGTAAAATTTATGTAGGTAAGTATATAAATTTATGAAGATAAATCAATAAATGTACCTTGTAGATATAATAAAATTCTTTGTCTACTTGTGTTATTTTCGAACACTTAAGTAGACATAGAATTTTATTATATCTACAAGGTACATTTTTTGATTTATCTTACAATTATATTAAATAAATCAATAATTACTTCTGGAGAATTCACGGATTGGAAATTGTGAAGAAGTATACATACTTCTTAGCGAGTTGTTACTTAGCAACAAACATTATAAATACTCATTATTCTATGTATAAAAATTATCTCAATGAAAAATAGTGTCTTTTAAGCTTTTTAATATATTTTTTATAAATAACAAAACATTCCACTGCGCTCAATCCTGATTTACTTAATATTGTAGCAGAGCGATAAACAGTAACGATTTTATGAGAATTTATGAGACTATAATTATTATGTTAATTATGATGTTATACAGTCTGTCGTCAGAATATGACAATTTCAGAGTCGCTATCGAATCACGCGATATACTTCCAAAGCCTGATGTACTTAAAACGAAAATAGTAGAAGAATGTGAAGCACGTCACCATCAAATTACAAATAATAATGAACCTGAATGTTCTTTTAATGAACAAGCATATTATGTTTCCTGTAATATTTTTAAACGAAAGGGGAACATTTTTAAACGCAAACGTCACAAAATTTATACAAATTGCTGGAAGAAAAATAATGAGAGTAAGCTCAATAAACTTAATAATAGTTATCAAAAAACAAACTATGCTATGCAGTGCCTTCTTGCATAATAAGAAGCCTGAAGACAGCATATGGGTTTTAGACAGTGGCTGTTCATCTCATATTACTTATCAACGTGATCTTTTTAAGATTTTAGAAAAAGCCTCCAAGAA